CACACATATATTCATATACACACACACATATATATATACACATACACACACACACATATATATATATAACATACACACACATATATATATACATATACACACACATATATATATACATACACACACACAACATATACATACATATATACATATAAACACATATATTCATACATACACACATATATATACACACACACACACATATATACATACACACACACATATATACATATAAGACTTTTTTGGGGGTAAAGGTCCATATATATATATATATATGTCATTATCTTTGATTTCTTATTTCTTCGTTTCGCATTTTAAAATCTTTCTCTTCAAAAACATATTTCCACCACTCTCTTTCTCTTCCCATTGTTAATACATAATTTCTATTTCAGAAATAGGCTTAGTTTTAAATCAGTGTTACTAAATTTGTATATATATATATATTTCACGGTTAAACTTAATCAAAGTTAAGTATAATTTTGCGTGATATCACTGTGTTTCATTAGCGTTAAAAATAAAGATTATCTGCAAATGTGCCCTCCAATGGCTCAGCGGTAACTCTGATGATTTATAACGTTAAAAAGCGGGTTTCGATACTCGTAGGGGGCTTAGCACAGATAGCCCATTATGTATCTTTGTGTTTAACCACAATCAAACTTGGAAAGTCTGTAAATGTATTATTACAATCCATTACACACCGCTCAGACTTTAATCGTGTTCTGCACTTTACTTCATAAGAATGAGTTAGTATACCACATTAACAAATTCACCAAGAATAATTTTAAAGCAAAACAAATGAATAGAGTGTAATAAAGGAGTTTTAAGATATATTCACTCTGTTGGATTTATTCTGGGAGGAGCGTGGATTGGCTCTGTGATAGGGTCCTGGATTTCAAAGTTGGTGAGCCGTAGTATTCTCTATTAATTTTTCTTTGTACCGGGTGCATTATGAACTTCTCTGAGCACTACTTTTTTTGAGCGGCTGTTGGCGTCTGTACTCCTGTTTTATGCTTGGATATGGTATCGTCAAATTAGAAGCCTATGTATTCCACACGAAATGATTATCGACTGACTAATTTGTGAGCGGTCTGTTATTTTGGATGCGCAGCACATGGCAGAGAACTGCGCAGCCGCACATGCGCGCAACTCGGAAGGAACATTGGTGAGCTCAGTTCAAATCCGTGCGATATCACAAACTATTACCCAAAATTTCAGCTGTCGGTGCATTATACGAGTGACAGTCATTCCCTTAGAGTGAATGGTAT